ACAAGGTCCTGATTATTATGAAGTGGGCTGACCAAGCTGCTTTCTTTTTCCTTTAACTAGCAGGGGAGACAAAACACACTGGTAAACCCTGGCACTTTATATAATCAGGCCAAATTAAATGTAACCTAACTAATTGTCACCCCATTGTTTCAATTTGCAGTCAGTTTATGGTTTATTATGCAAAATAGTATTCCATATTTTCTGAACATGATTTTATCCTATTTACTAGAAAAGTTGCTGTATCCATGAATTAGAATGTCATTTTTATGTTTTGCATAAAAGGTTTTGAAACAAGTCATTGACTTTTGCTAAACTCATTGGCTGCTTTGGAGATAAAGTGTGTGAAGTCATAATCTTTCAGACGTTGTTGTAGATGGAGCCAGAACTGTTCCTGAAATGGGTTTCTCTCAATGCTCATTCCTCTGATAAACAACAAAATCACACCACTTGGCTCATGTGATTCCTAGCTGGCCCTGTACCTGTTTTTAGTAAGAGTGGTCTCGTTTCAGCTTTGGCTGGCCACCACAATTTTCTAAAAAGAACCCTTCATGAGAACAGGCATCAAGTGGTGTTACCATAAACTTTGTCTCTGAACATTTGACTTCAATAAGCCCAAAAGGTGAGTTACAGCCTTTGTCTACAACTTTGCCATCTGGGGAGGCACCAAGGTATGGTGAGGTTAAACAAACAACAAGACCTGACTTGTAAACCAAAACCGGCTTTTTTACTGAGTGCATGTACTTCTGGTATTGTCTTATTGCAATACTTTCATACTGATTCCCATGCCTGGTACATCTGTTATTTATTGGTTTTGGATGTAGAAGGTTGTTAACAAGGGACTCATGTTGTTTTTTTCTGTTCACAATCAATCCAAAATTGGAAGCAGTAAATCTAAACCTTGTTTCCCTTTTCCATTCCTCACTGCCTAATTGCCCTCTTGTTTTAGTTTCAATGTCATTCACTTGAGATTTGTCCACTTTAATGTTTGTTAGTAATCTCTGACTTTGTCTCGGTCCGTAAAAATCCAGCCATCTCGACCTCGCGCTTGGTTAATAACACATATACATTGTGCATACAATAAACTTCTCCTTTGAGGACACATTATGATTAACAACCCGCTAATAAGGATAACAGTTAAAATTTTCCATTACAAACTCGCTCAACACAAACTTGCGCTGTTATGATGAACACTAACATGCAGTCTCAAGTGTAGTGTCTAAAAATGAAGAAGTATGCCACAAAAGGCAGCCACGAAGGCGAACAACAACAGTACACACAGTACACGTTTCTTTAATAATCTTCCCGCGCTCACACTTTCCCGGATGTATACTTTTACATAAACAACCGCTGTCCTAGTATACTACATCAAGGTCGTCAGCATAGACTGAGTTGACAACTGTTCTTCCCGAGGAAGATCTTGAAGCCAGAACGCTTCACCATGTTCTTTGAGGGACGCATTATTAATAATGTTGATACACAGGCTGGAGCAGGAGCAGTTCTAGAAAGAGCTTTACAGCATATTATTCTGCCAATTGCGATACTGACATAAAGATTTGTGAAAAGATCTCGAGATTGAATATTTTGCCAATTTTTATACTTTCACAGTTTCGATACTTTCGGCACCAAAACATGGGGTGAGAGACTGCGCCCCTCCCCCCCCAAAATATTTTGTTTTTCTGTTTGGCTACGCTCCCCCCTCCCCCCCTGCCCTCCTGCACAGCCGCCTAAGATGACTGTTGATTACTATTGCTATTATTGTCTTTATTGTCTTTTTTTGACAGGGATGATGGTTATTATCAGGTTTACTCGCCCTCCGACTATCTAAACCAAGTGTTATTACAAAGTGCGACAAGTGTTATTTCAAAGCCGTAATAACGACGGTGCGATTTTAAGAAAGTTGCTGACCATCCTTTGACACAAATACCGGCTCAAATTTTTGAGACAAGAATCAGTTCGTAAACTGAAGTTAATCACTTCAATGAGAAACTGGAGATAACTTAGAGCATTTGCATTTGCTTCCAGTGGATAAAGTTAGTCACTAACTGTAGCTCAAGAGAACGTTTTATCCTTAGCCTGACGGGGCCTGTTATTCTTTTACCCAATTTATTTCATTTTGCAATTACATATAAAAATTTTGAGAGATGACAGAATTACTAAGGGAGACACCGCTCATAAACAGCTGGCAAACCTCTCTCAATAGAAAAACAAGATTAATAACATTGTACAGGTATATGTTCAATGTAAAATATTACAGTGTAATCTGCAGAAGAGCTAACGATTGCTTACAATATATTTCTAATAATATGTTTCGTTTTTTTTCAACTGAAGCAAAATTTCAAGAACCAATTTTTTCTTAATGTAACTTAGACATCAGATCAAGTAGTCAGTAAAATTTCGTACAGTCCTGAAGTCATCTTAAAATATTTGTGAAGCGTTCCCTGGCAAGATGACTTGTAGAAACTCACCAAGCTTTTTTACCCTGAAATGAAATTTTTAACATAACTCGTTATATCTAAATAATATTTATAAAAGCAAAGTTTATACGATTTCATAGGTTTCACGAGTAATGCTGAACTATCAACTTTTATATAATATTGTTGATATAGCGTTTTAATGGTTAATTAGATCGCATATTTCCAAGAAAAATATAGATCAAATAGTGGTTTCCCTGACGGTGCACATCAACTGACACAATACCGTAAAAATTAGTTTTATAAAGCTACAGCACTCGGGCGATAGAGAGTACTTCCTGGGAAACAAACTAATAATCTACCCTTGAAAATTCGTGGCAACTCCCTGCTTACAAACAGAAACTTAATCCGTACTTATGATGTAACATGATTGCCGGAAAATAACATATATCACGTTCCATGGACATAGGGCATATCAGTCTTGCCAACTGCCAACTCTCGAAGAGGTGCTACGACAACAAAAACCACGACACAAAACAGAAAAGTAATCATACCATTGCATTTCCCACACGTCTTTGCGCAACTGCGTCGAAAGTCTTCACTATTCGTACAGTAGCTTTTCCACTCAGTACAAAACTTATCACTCATTCTGTTTCGACAGGATCTATTTGTTACTTTGGCTGTAAGAAGAAAAATACTCATGTTATTCGATTTTGAAGGATTGTTCTCTCTTTATTTGTANGCGACATGTTCGCGTTTCAATAGCTTCTCCCAGTCCCTTGCAGTCTGCTCCACCATTTGCCGGCGGGGGATTGGTGCAAATGCGGGAACGCTGCTGACTTCCGTCTCCGCATGACTTGCTACATCTTGACCAGAAGGACCATGGAGAGTAACCACCATCAATCGGGGCTCCTTATTAAATATAAAAAATCTTATTGTAAAATAAAATTTCAACCTAGCTTTAATGGACGAAGGGAGGGAATAGTTTGCTTACTATGGGCATAAAGATTACATACTAGGTAATTGCACAAACCTTGGAAAGTTAAAGTTTTGAAATGGAACTGCGGTCGAACCTGTTATTAGCGGCACCGTATTTTGCGGTCACCCTGTATTAGGTGGTGAATTGTCAAAGTACCGAATTTGTTTGCCCTTAATCGCTGTATTTTAATCTCTTTATTTTTGCCTCCGTTCAGCGGTCGCGGTCACCTATAACTGACTCCCAACGGCCGTTTTGTATTGCATTCCAACAACAACAACAACAACAACAACAACTTGATTCACCCTTATTCTTGAGAAGATTAAATTAACATCAAATAAAAAATTAAAACTGAGAGGGTGTTGGCTTCCTAAAATAACTAGAAGGTCAACAAGGCTAGGAAGCCAAATTACATAGATTGAATTACAATATTAGGGTCCGGACACACACACACATGTACACACATGTACACACACATGTACACACACATGTACACACACACATGTACACACACACACACACATGTACACACACACACAGAATTGAACTAAAAATAATTCTGAATAAACGAAATTTACAAGTCATGGAAAAAATTATATATATATATATATATATATATATATATATATATATATATATCAGAAATGAAATCCTAAAATCCTGAACAATTATGATTAAAGAAAAAAGCGTAGAGCAACAAACAAATCACAGGAATAGCTGGGAAGAAACAGATTACTCTGGGGAAAGCAGAAAACCAGGGTGAAATTAATATTGGCACAGTAATTAATTTTTAATTTTCTTTTAAAATTTACGGAAAGAGGTTGACTTTATATCTTTCCCAAGAGAGTTCCATGCCTTTGGTCCTTTAAAGCGAATATTAAAAATTCCATAGTTTGTTCTCGCTCGAGGCAGGTAATAAGATTGATTTGCTGCACTTCGTGTATTGTAGTTATGGATACTAAGTACTGAATTAAAGAAGCTATCAAAATAGGAAGGTAATAACTTGTCATGAAATTTATACATAAAAAGTGCAATATGAAATGTAACAAGATCAGAGAACTTCATAATTGCCAACAATCTAAACAGCGGAGTTGAATGTTCATCAAAAGAGGAAAAAGTCATGCATTATTCGCACTACTTTTTACTGTAAAATGTATAAAGGCTGAAGTGTAGTTGAATATGTATTACCCCAGATAACTCAGAAATGGGTGGATTAAAGAGTGATAGAGATTAGTTAGAATATCAATATTAACATAAAGGTGAAGCTTAGACAAGATCCCTACGCTTCTTTTAATTTTCTTTACAATACACGCAATTTGAGGTTTCCAGGATAAATTTGTATCAATTAAAATTCCAAAGTATTTAATACAGGAATCCTGTTGCAACTGTTTTCCATTTAAAGTTAAGTCGAAGTTAAATGTTACTTTCCTTTGAGGAGGAGGAAAAATTACAAAACTATTTTTTTCTATATTGACAGAAAGTTTATTTGCACAAAGCCAGGAATTAACATTAGTGAGTTCATTATTTATACTTGCCTGTAGAGAAGTGAGATATTTATATGTTTGCAAAATAAATTAGTATCATCAGCAAATAAATGGAAATCAAAACATTTAGAGCAATGGTGAAAGTCATTAATATATATAGAAGAGAATTGGTCCAAGGACTGACCCCTGAGGAACACGACATGAAATATTGACAGAGGTAGAAGTTACACCACTTATGGTGACTGTTTGTAAACGATCTGTGAGATATGAACTAAACCACTGGTTTGCAATCCCACGTCTGCCATAGAACTCCAATTTTCTTAACAATATCTCATGATTTATGGTATCAAATGCCTTACTGAAATCTAAAAATATACCACAAAAAAACCCCTATCATCAATTTCCCCTTGAAATTTATCAACAATACTAAGGATAGCATGATCAGTGGAGTGCTTAGCCCTAAAACCAAATTGATCATCAAAAAACACTTTTTTCTTTTCAAGGAAATCAACTAATCTATTGCACATAAGTTTTTCAAGCAATTTATTAAGAACAGACAGCAAGGAGATTGGTCGAAATTAGATAGGCAAGTCTGGGGTCTCTTTTTATAGACTGGAATTACATTTGCTAATTTAAAATTGTCTGGCACTATACCGGTCTCAAAGGAGGCATTGAACAAAACTTCTAGAGGCTTGGATACAACGGTTTTCAAAATTTTGAAAATGGTGACGGCTATACTAAAGGGACCAGTGGCTTTGCCAGATTTCAGTTTAGTGATTTCAGATTCAATTTCTTCTGCTGTTGTAGGTGAAATAAAAAAACTATTATAGGAGAGAGTTTTTAAATACTCTAAAGGCGACATTTCAATGTTTGGTACTGACTAAGCAAGGTCCTTGCCAATGTTTGCAAAAAAGTTCTTGAACGTATCAGTAATCATATAATGATCAGTTATGACATTATTATCTGCAATGATTTTAATGGTTCTATGACTAGTTGGAGGCTTAAAATGGATAATTTGTTTAATACCATTCCAAACTTTTTCACTATCTCTAATGTTTTTAAGAAAATAATCGCAATAATATTGTTTTTTTGCTTAGTTTTAATAGATGATTTCATTTATTCCTATAAAGTTTGAACTTAGAGTGAAAGTAACAAGATTTGGTCTCTAAATATTTTTTATGAAATTTATTTTTTACTTGATTAGATACTTTTATTGAACAGTCACTTATACTAGAACCACTCAAATAAAACTAGGAATAATCTTTCGAGTAACGTTTAATCGATGTCTCTTTCCCAAAATCAAAGTAACTAGTATTTTTGTGCGAGACTCTAATCTGTGGAACCTGTACTCTGCGGTCAATCTCTATTAAGCGGTCACCCCGTGGGTGAACGCTTAAAAGGAGAGAGAACATCAGTCATAAACTGGTCAAATGTAAGAATTGTTGTCCTTTTCTTATTAAACATTTGCATGCAAAAAATGTAATAAATCGACAGTGGTTTAACGTGATCTGTCTAGTGAGTCCGTAACAACTTTTGACCACTGTAGTGACGAAAGTCGTTGTCGATAAGAGTACAGACCAAACTTAACAAATGTCGATTTGTTTTTACCACGATATCGACATCAAATAAAACAATTTTTTTACTGCGTGACCATTTCGTGAGACGCTGTCGCGTACTGCGTTGACTGAACTCTTATTGACAACAGCAAATTGGCTAATCAGACTGCGACATTACTTCCAATTGTGGTAAAAAAATAAACACAAAAAAAAGAAGCAAAAACAAGCAAACAAACAAACAAACAAACAAATAAAAATTAACGAAGGAATAAATAAACAGTTGTAGAAGGAAGAAAACCAGAGAACCGAATAATGAAAGAAAAAGAACTAAAATTAGAGATGCTAAAGTGGCCCAGGAATGTAGATTTTTCATTAAGATGGGGTCAGCAATAGGTCTCATCGGTACTTCTATGCTACTTGTTCAGGTTTTGCTGTTGTAGAAGGAGTCTGAAATGCATAACTGTTTTAATATCACCCCTTACACGAGTAGCCTTTTGGCTATGATGATTGTGGAGCCAATGTACACGAGTTTGTGATGTAACATGAGATCAAACTCTTTCAAGATGATTTCCGGAAAATAACATATATCACGTTCCATGGACATATGGCATGTCAGTCTTGTCAACTGCCAATTCTGGAAGAGGTGCTACGACAACAAAAACCGCGACACAAAACAGAAAAGTAATCATACCATTGCATTTCCCACACGTCTTTGCGCAACTGCGTCGAAAGTCTTCACTATTCGTACAGTAGCTTTTCCACTCAGTACAAAACTTATCACTCATTCTGTTTCGACAGGATCTATTTGTTACTTTGGCTGTAAGAAGCAAAATACGCATGTTATTCGATTTTGGAGGATTGTTCTCTCTTTATTTGTAGATGATCGTGTTGGGCGGCAATCAGTGTACATACTCCATCGCGCTTTGTTGACCCTTCTGACCAAAAGAGCGGTCTTCATATCAAGAAAGAGCACGGCTCAAACAGTAAATAAGTCTTGAATACTTTGAAGTTAAAACGACTCACTGTTATCCGAGAAAAGTCGTTATAGCACATAAGCCAGCTTCACAAATATGATTTATAGTAATAAGAATAATAAAGATAGGCATTAATTTGTATTGTT